TGGTAACTAAAGGAGAAGCCTCGTCGTCATCCATGCCAAGCCCCACGAGGGAGGGAGGGAGGGAGGGTGGGAGGCCAAATCTGCCCCTAACTCTACGTTGTTACCCACCGGAGGTACTGCTGAATTGCACCGTCATGGTTGCCCTTGTTGTACAGGTGGTCTCCATACTGGCGGAAGATCTCAGACAGCCCATCACTGTCCAGGTGGTGACTTTTAGCCAGGTTGATGGCCATTTCAAAAAGGTTCTTCTTGAAGAGCATCTGTTAAAAGGAAGCTGTGGTTCAAGAAAGGCTCCAAGCAGAGGTTCTGGCCAAAGCTGCTCTCTCCAGCAGTTTGCATTTAGGCTGTCAAGTCCATCCGCCTCCTTGTACGGATGTTGGTGTGGAAAGACTTCTGCAATGGGCAGGCCTTAAAACACCCGTGCCCCCACCCACCCACCCACCCCGGGGACCAGATCAGGGCCTGTGCTGCAGCTGTTTGCCCAAGAAAGAGCTCCAGAAAAAGCAAAGAAGGATCTCTTGCCTCCAGTTTGGTCTGCGTATCCTTCTCCTGCAGCACATGGAGTTTCCCATCCCTCGTCAACACATACAGGCATCCCCACTCTGCCAGGACGTCCACCACATCATCAAACACAGAGCTGTAGGCAATGAACTTGTTGCCCAGGTCATAAATGTTCAGGATCTGCTTGTCAGAGTTTTGTGGATCTCCTCCAGTAAACTCAGATCTGGAGCAGAGAAGGGGAAGAGCGGAAGACAAGCTTAACCAGAAACACCCTAAAATGCAAAGACCACGAGCTTGTTTTTGCGTCCTCAATAAAGGAAGAGTTCACAGCAGCCCTAGCTGCAGTCTTAGCCATAGGCCACTTGCCTGCACCCTCCCAAAGAGTAACGCCAACGAGAGGCTGCGCTCTTTGAAAAAGGGAGTGATGCATTCAGCAGAGACAGGAGGCTGTTCTATACGTCTAAGTGTAGATACAACCATCAAATAATTTCATACACTCCGATACCTTAAATCTTACTGAAAACTGAGTCTTTCCAAAATCAGTCATATACTTTAAGGTACCTAGTGAAAATTATATTCCCCATCACTTATTTGAGTTCCAACACAATCTGGAAAGCAAAGCTGAAACTGTTCGGCTACACGTGGAGAAATGAAGGACGAGAATGTTCATTAGAACTGTAAATTACTTCCACGGTTAGGAATGTTCAGAAACACGCCTGTATTTAGAGGCGTTTCATCTAACTGCCCAAAGCCCCATCCCAGCAATAAAACAAGCTTACTTGGGAGATACTTTCCAGTCCTTCGACACGATGACCAGGTAGCCTCGATACCAGTGGACAATCAGCTTTTGACCCTCAAAGGCAAAGCAAGGCCCCCGTTCATCCGGCTGGTAGAGATATACACACTCATCTCCTGCCACTATAAACTGGAGGTCCTGGGAGGGATCACTGAGAGTGGAGCAGCGCAGTCCACAGCCACGCATGTCCAGTTCCAGCAGTGGGCAGTCCTTCATCAAGAGTGTGTAACACTGCAAAGCCACAGGAAAATGGTGCCGGTGAGGACAGAAATCCAATCGGGCAAGGAGTGGGTGAAACCCGAGTTCTGCCACATCCTCACTGCCCCGAAGATCCACAGCCTACCTGAATTTTCTCTGTGGTAGCCACAAACAGATGAGTTGTTTTGCTTGACTGGCGAAATACGAGCCCAGTAACTGGATGGCCTCCTTCCTGTAGGACTTGAGTTTTACTATGCCGATCCCTTGTAATGTCCCCCTTGATAAGCACCACACTCCCATCCACAAAGCCTATGAGAAAGAAGGAAACAAGATCCAGGGATCAGAAATGTTCTCCACTTCTTCTCCTAAGCTGAATGGGGCCCTCGGGTGACCTGTTCCATACTATGTAGGCCTTTAATCTCGACACCAGCGCCTGGAATTACACCCAGAAACACACTGGTAAGCAAGGTAGCCCGCACTGCTGCATTTTGCACCAGCTGACGTTTAGGGATACTCTTCGGGGCCTCTGTGTACAACTTTTAATTGTAACCTACGTCAGGTTTTAATAAAAAGGGTAGACAGCCTCCCCAAGCGTTTCTCTTCCAAGTTCACTTTCCAATTAATGTTCGGAATATGCGATAGCGTATCTAGTTACCAATAGCCATGAAGTTGAGATTTTCATGGACGGTGAGACAGGATACCAGCGTGAGTTTGTTGCCTGGTATTGCAGGAAAAATCCTGGTGCACTGGGGTGTCCCACTGTCACGTTTCTCTAAATTCCAGACTTTGACCTACAAATAATCAGAAAGATTGTTAGGGAAACCGCCTTGCACCCATGTTTGGACTGCTAAGTTTTGCATGAGGTTTCTTGGCTTGCATATTTAACACCGCCTTTTAACTGCATCCTAGTTGTTTAATAGCGACTGGTCTTTTTACTCTGTCTGGAGACAGGATGAGAGGCCTGGCTTCTGTTAGGGCAACAGAAAAGCGCCCAGAGGATTTTAGAGGCAGAACAGGTTCCTATCGAGTCAACCGCATGAAGGTCAGGAGATTTCAAAAGGAAATATCTTCACCGGCGGCGCAGAGATCGAAAACGGAGCAAGCGGCCCCTGCGGGAAAGCAGGTGTCAGGCTCGGGCTCCGCTCCCGCCACCCCCGCCTCCAGCTCACCAGGGGGTTCAGCCCTTCCTCCTCCTCGCCCACCGACACCAGGATGCTGTGCTGCTTCAGCTGGAAGAGGTGCGTCACCCGCAGCTTGTAGGCCTGGAAGCTGCTCAGCTCCAGGGAGCGCGGCAGGAACCAGATCTGCCCTTCCCAATGTGGGCTGCGGTTAAGGGGCCTCCACGGAAGGGCGCCCGGCGCCGCCCGCCTCCCCCGCCCGCCCGCCGCCCTGCGCGACGCGGCCGCGGAAGGATATCCCCGAAGACCAGGCTGCCCCTGCCCGAGTCGCAGACCACGATGCCCGGAGGGAGCAGCACCGGGGCCCCGCCGCAGTCCGTCAGCGGCTCCCGGTCGAAGAAGGCGAAGCGCCGCCACTGCAGGTAGGCGGCCATCTTGCCGGAGATGGGACGGGGGGGAGGGGCTCCACGGGGGGGAGGGGCTGGCGGACGGCCACTTCCGCAGATCCGCCGCGAGGACTTTTGGGGACTGAAGTTCGCCGCGGCCACGCCCCCGGATGCTCCTCCGGCGGGGGCGGGCGCCGGAGAAGTGCGACGCTGGGACGTGGACCAATGGCGGCCCGCGGTGGGTGACGGCTCCAATGAGCGCTCGCCGCGTCTGCCTGGAGGGGCGTCGTTGCCGCCGCGGAAGGAGCAGCTCGGCTGAGGCAGACACGCCGCGCCGGCCGCCGACCTCGCACCGGTCGCCGCTCGCTCCACGCCGCCGCCCCCCCCCGTCCGCCGCAGAGGAAGCCGATCCGCCGCGCTTCGTCCTGATGGCTCCCGCGTCCCGAAGGCCCCGCCTGCCGCTCCTCGGCCGCCTGCTGCTGGCGGCGCTGGCTTGCCTGCCCCCGCTGTCAGGTGAGCGCCTCCGCCGCAGGCCTGGAGAAGCGGCCCCCGCCGTCGCGGCCCTTCTCCTTGCCCCGGGGCCCCCGTGCGAGCGAGCGAGCGAGCGAGGCGGGGAAGGCTTCCTGCCGGGGCTGAGGCTGAGGGGGTCCGGCCTCCTCAGTGGGTGGGGGACCGTCCGCCTGGCCGAGCAGCCGAGCGGGGAGCCCGGCTCGCCTGGGCTGAGACTTGGGGCGCCCCCCGTGGGCCGAGCTGAGAGGCTGAGGCCAAGCGAGGCTTTTGTGCCGCAGATTCCCTGGCGGTGATGTCGGTGGACCTGGGGAGCGAATCCATGAAGGTGGCGCTGGTCAAGCCCGGGGTGCCGATGGAGATCGTCTTGAACAAGTGAGCCCGAAAGCCCTCCGCCTCCGCCGCGGTTCTGGGGAAGCGGCTCTGCCGGGAGGCTCACTTGTCTGCCTTGCTTGCTGTAGGGAGTCTCGCAGGAAAACCCCGCTGGCTGTGGCCCTGAAGGAGACCGAGCGGCTCTTTGGCGACGGCGCAGCAGGAATGGTAAGCCTTCCGAGGCCCCCTTGGCTGGGTCTCCTCCTCCTCCTCCTCCTCTTTCCCCCTTCGGCTCTCTGTCAGCTCCCCGTGGTTCCTCCCCCCCCTCGGTCACTCTGCCACTGAATTCTGTTACTTCGGCCTTGCCTCTCAGCACATGCGCTCCCGCCATTAAGCAGCTGGCGGGTCCTTTTCAATGCGCACTGCAAAATGCAGAGAGAGGTTTGGTACTTTGAAATGTTTCCCGTTTGAGCTTTATTGTGAGGAAAAAGCATTGCTGCCGCTGAGCATTGTCTGTTACGGTGCTTTTATCTTACAGGCTATTAAAAATCCAAAGGTCACATTCCGCTATTTCCAAGACCTTCTGGGCAAACATTTTGACAACCCCCAAGTGGCTCGGTACCAGTCCTGGTTCCCAGAGCATCAGCTGGAGAAAGATGCAAGGAGGGAGACGGTCATCTTTAGGCTCTCGGAGTGAGTATCTGCAGCCATCATCTTTCACACTGCTCCGGCACAGCGACCAAGTTGACTCAGAAAGTTTTGTACCTCTCGGAAATGAGTCCTGCATTTGATTTTATTCCTTCTGGGCATTGGTCAGGTGTCCCAAGTGCTTGTTGGAATAACTGGTGGGAGGGAGGCACCTGCCTATCGCTATTCAAGGAATGGGATTTGAACCATTTGCAGTGGTTATATGGATAGAATTTAGTTCCTTGCAAAACATATTTCTACAAGCATCTTTAAGGGGACTCAGTTGTTCTTATTCTTTCAGCAAGTTGCAATATTCTCCAGAAGAGATGCTGGGTATGGTCCTGAATTATTCTCGGGCACTGGCTGAGGAGTTTGCAGGTTGGAATTGCTTTTGTGTATACATTGAAGCATGAGGGTTTACTTTTGGGAATAGATGTGGACGAAAGACTGGGGGAGTGATTCTCCGGCGGGGAGGGTGTTAAGCTGTTTTCTGTTATTCTCGTCTAGCACTACGGAGCAATAAGATTAGTTAGGATGCCGTAGTTTGCTTACCAGGCTTTCTTCCCTGAAATGTTAGGAAGAGGAGACAAGCATTAAATGCATCCCTTTGCAATATGTTTTTATGCAAAATATATTTGCTTTTAGAAACAGGGATGGTCCTTACTTTGCTAATTTTTAATTTGTGGTTCTTCTGGAAGACACTTGGAGGAGGGTGCAATCAGTTTTATCATTATTTTAAATTTATGGCAAGCTTTTGACAGCAACTTATCAAAAATGCTGCAAGCATTGCATAATTTTAGATCTTTGCTTTATTGTTGTTGATAATGTTTGAGTTGTTTTTAGCAATGATGTTAGCTGGCTACTATGTTGTTGAAATAAAATGAGACGATCCATTTTGAAAATTACATTTTGCCCGCAAGTGAAGTAAACGACAAGAACTTAAAAGGTACGTGAACTGTGAGTTAACTAGCTGCTTTCACTGCTCCTTCAGAGCAACCAGTCAAAGATGCAGTAATCACCATCCCTGCGTACTTCAACCAAGCGGAGAGGAGAGCCGTTCTGCATGCTGCCAAAATGGCCGACCTCAAGGTTCTGCAGCTCATCAACGATAACACTGCCGTGGCATTGAACTACGGCGTCTTCCGGAGGAAAGACATCAATGCCACCGCTCAGGTGGGTGGGCCAGGGAGGTTGGTGGGTGGGGGCAAACTGAATAGTGCAATATATTCAGGGAGCACGATCACATTCCCAGTTTCAAGATGAAGCTTTTGTTTATTGATTATGTGCCATCCGGACAGTGCTGACTCTTAGCAACCACAGGAGGGGTTTTTTTCAGGGTGGTCTGTTCCCAACCTGCTCCTTCAGACCTTCTGTTAGTGCACCCATTGCCACAAATAAGTCCATCCCACCTTGCTGCTGGTTGTCGTCCTCTTCTCTTTCCTTCCGCCTTTCTCAGCTTCCACGATCCTGTAAAGGAAACAAGACTACAAGAACCCAGCAAAGTAGAAATACCACATGTAAAATGGTAGTTCAGGAATAGATGCCTCTAGAGGTTTCTAGGCCCTGTCCGCAGCATGGCACCGCGTGGCAGTGGAGAAGGAGCCGGGCTGGGCAGGCCACAAGCTGACTTGCTGGCATCCTTTTCCTAGAGTGCCTTTTGAAGGGCCATCTTTCTCTCTTTTCAGAACATCATGTTCTACGATATGGGGGCAGGCAGTACCGTCTGTACCATCGTGACGTACCAAACCCTGAAGACCAAGGACTCGGGGGTCCAACCACAGCTGCAGATCAGGGGCGTTGGGTAAGAGTTCCTGTTTGAAATCTGATCTCTCGTTTTCTGGCAAGTCAGAAGGAAAGAGAGGTGCAAATGTGTCAGAGGAAAGGGAACAGGGGCTTCGGAGGGGGGGGGAGGGCAGAGGAGAGGGTTGGACTTATTGGCTCTTTTTGCTCAGCTTTGATCGGACGTTGGGGGGGCTGCAGATGGAGCTGCGCCTTCGTGACCACCTGGCTAAGCTCTTCAATGAGCAGCACCCGGGCAAGGATGTCCGGCAGAATCTCCGTGCCATGGCCAAGCTGCTGAAGGAGGCCAATCGGGTGAAAACGGTGTTGAGTGCCAATGTGGACCACATGGCTCAGGCAAGTGGCCCCCGGAGTCCTTGACCGCAGCTGGGCGCGAGGGGTAAAGGTGGTGGCGGCTGTGAGAGGAAGGGGAGCCTCCCAGGCCAATTCCTTCGCTGGAGGATTTGGAGTGGTGAGTTGGGGGCTCTCAGGTTCTCTTTTCTTCTTTCCAGATTGAGGGTCTCTTGGATGACATTGATTTCAAGGCCAAGGTTTCCCGGCAAGAGTTTGAGAAACTGTGTTCTGACTTGTTCGAGCGGGTGGCAGGACCCGTCCAGCAGGCCCTGGGTAGCGCTGAAATGAGCCTGGTAGGTGCAGGAGTGGTGGGATGCAGCCTTTGGGAGTCGCAGGGCTCCACCGGCTATTTAGCTGATGAAAATGCAGGATTGCCCAGCAGCGGCTGCGTCTACTTGGAAAACGTCAACTGGTTAATTGGAATATGTTCTTGTTCTGAGTTCGCACCACCCTTGGCTAGAAATGCATAATGGTAAAAGTGCTTCTGCTGCTGACCACCCGGAATGTCACCATCGGACAGCTTAGCCTGGACAGCTCCTGAGCAGGCTCCGTCTCTTTCTCCCACTCTCAGGAGGAAATTGACCAAGTGATCCTCGTTGGAGGGGCTACCCGAGTGCCGAAGGTGCAGGAATTTCTGTTACAAGTAGTCGGCAAGTAAGGTTGCTTCCTTGGCCTCCTCCCCACTGCCCCCTCCTTGGGCGGCTGAGCGTAGCCAGTCGCACCTCACCCAAGGGATCCACCCTGGCTCGTCCAGCTCAAGGCTTCCTCCTGGCTGGCCTTGCAGGAACAGAGCTCTTTCCGGCCGGCTGAGGGGCAGGGAGCCCCGCTCAGGCATGACCTCCTCTGAAGTGGGGCACAGCTAGCAATGGCGGGCGGGAGGGGAGGTGGTCCTCCCCTTGGCTGGTGGAGCAGAAGGACAGCATCTCCGCTTTCTCCAGAGAAGAGCTGGGGAAGAACATCAATGCTGATGAGGCTGCTGCGATGGGGGCCGTCTACCAGGCAGCTGCTCTGAGCAAAGCCTTCAAGGTGAAGCCGTTCATTGTCCGTGATGCAGCCTTGTACCCGATCCAGGTAAGAGGCAAGCGGGGAAGGGCTGGGCCTTGGGGAATGAACTGGGCCACTTTCCAGAGGGGCAAAGAGGGCAAGCAGGCCGCCTCTTCCCCCGTCCCTTCCCTCCCACAGGTTTAAACAATTTTTATTTATTTTTGAACAAAGACAAACAAACATAAAAATAAAATAAAAACATCTTCCATTACAAATTGTAGAAAGTGTGTCACTTGGTTACAGTATTTCCATGCATCTCTTCCATAGTCACCACCTGCTTTTCATATCAAATGGCATATTTTAAATTCACATATATTCATGTATATCACAATTATTATATCTCAACCTTAATTTGACTAAAATTGTTTTTACAAATCTAGAATAGGATTA